ATTAGTTTCTTTAAATAAAAAAAAGCTCAGGCCTTTTTTGCAACCTTGGGCTTGCAGAACCCTCCATTGTAGCCCTGGCAGGCCCAGTCGTTTATAGTTGTTTTGTATAGATTCATTATTATATTGAGGGATGTTTTAGTGCATTGATCCCTGCATGGCACATAAAGATGCCACAGCACCAATAATATGTTTCTTGACACCCACTTGCTTCTTGAACCTAGGAGGGAAATCCTCCAGATGGTCTTGAATAATACAGAAAACCCAGGGAGCTTCAGGCTATTCCCTACTACAGGACAACCTGCAAAGTACTGAGCTTGTCCTGAGCAGATGTGTTACAGCTGTGTGTCCTTGGTTAGGCTACAGACAAAAATTTTCTCATGTCCCTAGTCCTGGAAACCTTTCAGTGGCCATAAAGAGAGCAAACCCTTCTCTTTGACTGGAAACTGACACCAAACAGCATTTCTCTGCAAAAGCAAAGAGCTGCTTTCAGCTTCCCCCTATATCATTGGAGCAGGAGATGCTTAGAGAGACCAGGAGGTTATCTCCTTTGCATCTGGGGAGAACACTCATTCATAGAGTCATAGAATCAGAGTTGGAAGGGACCTCCAGGGTCATCTAGTCCAACCCTCTGAACAAGGCAGGAAATTCAGAAATACCTCCCCCTTCACACCCGCAGTGACCACTGTTCCATGCCCAGAAGATGACAAAAAACCTCCAGGACCCCAGGCCAGATTGGCCTGGAGAAAAATTGCTTCCTGATTCCAAAGTGGCGATCAGCATTTCCCTGGGTGTGTAAGAAAGCACATGAACTAAGCAGTAAGCACTGAGGCAACCCTTCCTGACCTCCCTCCCATGATCGGCCTAAGTTCACACAATCCACATAGCTATCAGATGACCATGTAGCCTCTGTTTGAAAACCTCCAAAGAAGGTGGAGAGCCCACCACCTCCCAAGGATGCCTGTTCCACTGAGGAACCGCTTAACCGCTCTGTCAGGCAGTTTTCCTAATGTTTAGCCAAAAACTCTTCTGATTTAATTTCAACCTGTTGGTTCTGGTCTGACCTTCTGGGGCAACAGAAAACCACTCCATACCATCCGCTATATGACAGCCCTTCAAGTACTTGAAGATGGTTATAATATCACCTCTCAGTCATCTCCTCTCCAGGCTAAACATACCTAGCTCATTCAGCCTTTCCTCTCCAGACCCCTCACCATCTTTGTTGCTCTCTTCTGGACATGCTCCAGCGTGTCTATATCTTTCTTAAATTATGGTGCCCAAAACTTGAACACAATACTCTAGGTGAGGTCTAACCAGAGCAGAGTAAAGTGGTACCATCACTTTGCGTGATCTGGACACTATACATCTTTTGATACAGCCCAAAATCCCATTTGCCTTTTTAGCAACTGCATCACACTGCTGACTCATGTTCGGTATATGGTCTACTAAGACCCCAAGATCCCTTTCGCACATACTACTGCCAAGACAAGTCTCCCCCAACCTACAATTATGCATTTGATTTTTCCTGCCTAAATGAAGAACTTTACATTTATCCCCAGTTTTCCAGCCTGTCAAGATCATTCTGTATCCTGACTTCGTCTTCTACCATATTTGCTACCCCACCCAATTTAGTATCATCTGCAAATTTAATAAGCATTCTCTCTATCCTTTCATCCAAATCACTGATAAAGATGGTGAACAAAACAGGTCCCAGGACAGATCCTTGAGGCACTCCACTTGTCACTACTCTCCAAGAAGATGAGGAATCATTCACAAGTACTCTTTGGGTGTGATCTGTCAACCAGTTACAGATCCACCTAACAGCCACAGGATCCAAACCATATTTTTCCAATTTGTCAACAAGATTATTATGTGGAACCTTATCAAAAGCCTTACTGAAATCAAGATTAACTATGTTTACAGCATTGCCCTGATCCAGCAAGGTAGTCACTTTTTTTTAAAAAAAGAGATAAGGTTAGTCTGACATGACTTGTTCTTGAGAAACTCATGCTAGCTCTTACTTCATACAGAAGTAGGTACCTCTGTTGCAGGTCAACACTTGGCTTGGAGCCTCCCAGGCTTTTCATGACTGAACACACTCAATGGCAAGCATTCATTTTCTGGCAGTCCCCAGTACCCTCTCAAAATTCCCAAAGTGCCTGCAGGCTCAATGAGATTGGGGATTCCTGTTTTAGTGGGTGCTATTTGATTTCGCAGGCTAGTTTGCAAGGTCTAGTACATAGTAAAAGGTAGGAAATAAATGCATACTTCAAAGCATGAAAATTGTCCTTTCCTTAATTCTACAACAGATGGCAGGGTACATGCACATGTCAGAGTCTTAGCACCTCTATTTAGATATTAAAGAACTGTGAAAGTCTTCATGTGCATTTAAGGAAAAGTGGGCTATATTTCCAAAGGATTGTAATCCAAAATGTAAAGACAAAAGCCAAGCATCCAAGAAGGAACAAGGGGTAAAGACCTTGGAAAACTCAGCAGAGATCCTCTCTTTCTCAGCTTGTATCAAATCTTACTAGAGGCTCACAACATTGTTTGGTTCACTAATACAACCAAAGAATTTTGTCCTCATTGACTCAATGTTTTTTCCACTTTCTACCATTAAAACGGCAAATTGCTTGGGCCCAGGGTACTTGAAGGGCTACCTCCACCCATGCTGGTCAGCCTGCCAGCTAGGATCTTCCTCATAAGCCCTGTTCTGCATGCTCCCACCGTCCGAGGTGGGGCAAGTAGTAATCAGAGACAGGGCTTTTTCAGTGGTGGTACCTTGCCTGGGGAATGCCTGTTGTCTGGAGGCCCACCTGGAGCCTACAATGCTCTCTTTTCAAGTGCCAGGCCAAACGGCCTCTGGTTACCCCCCAGGCTTTTAACTAAGGGGCTGGCCTTTTAAACATCTATAGTCTGTTTTTAGCCAGAGATACATTTAAAACCAGTTTTAAGATGCTTCATGTTTTATGTTGTTTTACCTTCTGCTGTATCTGAATGGTGGATTTTAATAATTTTATTTCATAAGCCATCTCGACAGGTATCCTGGAGACACAGCACAGAAATTTCCTAAGTAACATAAAGTGCACTATTTTAGACAGATTTTAGAGAGTTTTTTAGAGCCATTGGGGAAGATAGCATTGATATCTATCACTTGATTGGGTTTATTTCCCTTGTCTTTTTATCCAATCCTACCTTGAAGGTTTGGGAGGTACTGCAGAAGAAGAAGAAGAAGAGATTGGATTTATACCCCACCCTTCACTGCCCAAAGAAGTCTCAGAGAGGCTTACAAACTCCTTTCCCTTCCCCTCCCCACAACAGACACCCTGTGAGGTAGGTGGGGCTGAGAGAGCTCTTGACAGAAACTGCTCTTTTTCTAGAACAGCTGTGCCAGAACTATGGTTTGCCCAAGGTCACACTAGCAGGTGCAAGTGGAGGAGTGGGGAATCAAACCTGGTTCTCCCAGATTAGAGTTCGCACACTTAACCACTACACCAAACTGTAATGAGTTTGTTGCCTGTATCACACTATTGCCATTTATAGTTCAATAATGTACAAAATCTACCAAAAAAAATCTTTTAAGAGGCCAGAACTATCAAATTCCTTTTTCAGAGCTTGGAGGAGGGAGACAGGGAATATAAAAGATTGGGCAGGTAGATTAAATTAAAGATAGGGCACCATCTCATTTTCTCTAGGAAGATTTTGCAAAAGAACATTTTTTTGTTCCATCTATATTTAGCCTAGTGGGACTAGATTAACAGTATGAACTGTTTGTTTTGTCTGCTTTTGGCACCTACTGCACAGCAGAAGTTTCACAAATTACTGTCTTCTTTCAAGACCAGGTAGGTACCAAAAAGCAATTCATGTCAAGAAGCACCAAATAACTGAATGGTTCTTTCCGCTTGGGTGATCTAATGCTGGAACAGAACAAGATGAAACCTAACACCAACCTGTCTCTGCCTCTTAAAGAACACCCTGATCTTTACCTTCCAGTTTGCTCCTGCACCCAGTTGGGATACCAGAATCACACTGGAGGCCCTGGCACGGAACTGACTGCAGTTGGGGGGGGAGCCACAAAGAGCCCCTCCTGATCTCCCCCCAGCTATCTATTTTGCTCTCTCTGCAAGCTGAGACTCCGCATCCCTGCCCGCTCATGTGGGTGCCAGAGGGGCTGCATTCAGTTTACACATAGCAGAAGCAACCCGCTTTTCAAGAAGAGGTTAGGTTTCATAATGAGAGAGACAGAGAGGGAGGGAGGGAGGGAGGGAGGGGGGAGTTGGATTATTCATCCGCACCAGAAAGAGAAGGGGAGGGGGAGAACCTCTTTGACTGACTCGCTCCAGAAAAAGCCGCGGGAAACTGTAGGATTAAGGGGAGGGAAGAGCGCTCCTAATTAAGATATACTTCCTTATAAATATGCAGCAAGTATCCGCCACTGCTCCTAGCTAGATCTGCACGCAGCAGCCACATTGCTTGACTTTCCGCCGGGTTACCCTCGAGCCCCAAACCCAGCGCGACGAAGGGGCACGTCAATATTTCTAACCCACCCGGGTCCTCGCGGATTAGGATTTCTTCAAATCCAAGCTCTTGCAAAGACATGAGTGGCGCGGCAGGCAGCCGATCAGCTCACAGCGATTGCCGGCCACTTCCCTGGCAGGTGGCCCCGTCTGGCAGAAAAGCGTCCGGCGTAACTTCTTGACCGACAAGAGGATGGAAGACTTGGGGAGATCTTCGCTGTGGAACTGCCGCCCCTCACTCCTTCATTAGAGCTGCAAAGCCTCCTCCAAGGATCGGCCCGCAAGCCTAAGGACGCCTTCCTGAGAGTAAGCCCCACTGGCTCAAACGGGACGTGCCTCCAAGTAGGCCTACGAGAGATTACTCTCTTTTTAATCGTCCTCGTGGCTTCCTGGCTTCCGCCTCCTCACAACACCCCCCCCCTCAGCCCCCTGCGGTGCGCGCCCTCCGTCCCCACCCCCCACCCCGGGAGTGACCTAGATTTTTACCCGCTGGACAACGTGGTCTTGTTCCTTGTCGTCCCTTCGCTCCGGTTCCTGCGGTGAGGCAGCCTCCCGCGGCTGCTGGTCGCCACTCTGCCCCTCCGCCTTCTCGGCGGGCAGCGCGTGGACCAGCTCTTCGCTGCACTCCAGGCCCAGCTTCTGCAGCCGCTCGTCGGTCGCGGCGTCCACCACCAGCAAGCGCACCAAGCCCGGCGAGTTTCGGATGCGAGTCACGACTTGCTGGTGGCTCTCCTTCTCCACGTTCTCGCCGTTCACCTCCACCAATCGGTCGCCGGCCCGCAGCCCGGACTTTTCCGCCGGGGAATCCGGCTCTACCAAACGGATGAATTGGCCCACCTTGCCCTTTTCCCCGTGCAGGTGGAAGCCATAGCCGTTCGGCCCCTTCTCCGGGCAGCACAGCCGGGGCAAGTGCTGGGAGTCGCTCCCTACCCCGTTGTTCATGTCCCTCCTTGGAGCCGGCCAAAAGTCGCTCGAGAAGTTAGAAGTGGCTTCAGTGGATGCCGAGACGCGGCCTGGAGAGCGCCGGCTACCGGGCTTCGCAGCAGCAGGTGTGCCCGGCCCGGCCCAGACTAATCCAAGAGCAACAGGACGCTGCTTGCAGATACAACAAGCAGTCGCCACTCCACCTATCGCGGCTTTTCTCGGGGTCTGAGCGTTCCAGAGGCTGTCAACGACACCTTATCAAGGGGGCGGGCGCAATTCCCAGAGGACCTACTTAGACCAATGGGGCAAAGGGAAGTTGCACGGAGGGAGGAGTAGAGAGGGGCACCGAACGTGCTCCACAATAGCAACAGTTGAATCGGAGGAAGGGATGATGTATAGCCCCTCCTCCTCCTCCTCCATTGGTTGTCTTGATCCTACACACACCCACGTGCGCAGCGCGCAATCTTAGGAAGTATCAAAAGTGAAACCCCTGTGAAGAGAAACTTCAACTGCTCCCTTCTAGTTTGTATGTCTCCCTCCCCCCCTCTTCCCCGCGATCATTACGTTGAGAAGGCACAAATTCGCTTGTTAGGAAGAAAATCTATTTGCCAGGAAAATCGTAATTGGCACATAGCCAAAAGATTTAAAAATGTAGATTTCTAACTTCAAGCAAGAGTTTCAAGGGGGGGCAATAACCACAGCATTGATTATTATTGCTGCTGTGCTTGTTTTTCCCCCTCTTCAAAATCCTTTTCCCTCCAGTAGTTTAAAAATCTACGTTTTATTTTACAGAGAAATCCTCACCTCCTTATGATAGGCCCAGTTAGCCAAGGCTGCTGACAGTCACTACTGGTATTCAAAGATTACCACCACCACCACCCAATGTTTTAAAAAATGAAAATTTAAAAGGAAAAGGAGGTGTAGAAACAGTGAGAAAAGTACAAAAATGAATGAAGAGAAAGGCGTTCACACCAATGCTTAAGGGAGGGGGGAACCTCTCAAGGAATTCTCTCATTTTAACCATTCCTTTAACTTGAAAACACAGTAAGTGCTTTCTTGCTGCAGAACAGTGGTTTCTAGGATTTCAGACAATAACAAAACCACACTGTGTAAAATCTGGCTACATATATTGTAGAAAATCTTAGAAAATCAATCACACACAAAACGAGTAATTTACAAAATCCTCAGATACTTGTGATTCCAAGGATAGCCTATTGTCTATCCATTTCAAAAGTTCTTTTTCAAGAATTGCTCTTCCCTTCTTTAGTCTTCAAGTCATACAAAATGCTTTTCTTAGGCTGTCTCTAGTCAGAACACGACTTTACAGCAGACAAAGGCCCCTGCCACATGGGGGGAAAAGCAGGGGCAAAGTGCAGCTTTTTAAAGCCGCACCAAAAGAGACATGCAGCGGCGGGATCACATAGCTCCCCTGAGCCACCGCGCACTTCCTACCCGGCACGATCAGATGCCGGGGGGAAGCCACTGAAAGGGGAGCGAGGCAGCTGAACTGCGCATGTGTGCGCATGCGCAGTTCGGCCGGGAGCCTAGATTGCTCCGGACGACGTGCGCGCTGGCGATCCCACGGCCGCGCTTGATGCGGCGGTCCCGGTAAGTCCTCCTCTGGGGATGGTTCTTTTTTACTGTGGGGACGGATCGGGGACGGGTGTGTGCCACTTCCCAGATGTTGTGGTGAGATCGCGCCCGTTTGCTGCGCCCCCGATCCGTCCCTCTCCCGGGCCAAAACTTTCCGTGTGACCGGGGCCAAAGATTCAAATCGGCAGTTCAACAGAATGCAAATCTCCAAAATATCATGTGAAGCTTCAAATCATTCCAGTACGGATATAGATACTCAGCTATCCATAGAATCATGAGTGGGAGTTCCATTTACAGAGTGAGGTGTAAAAAAAAACCCCAGGCAATAGTGGGGAACGAATTCATGAATTTACATTTTGCATGGTAGAGAAATACTAAAGGTCCTAAACAAGTTGTGTATTGTTAGCCAAATTGCTTTATTTCTTAATAAATGTGGGGAATTATGAGTATTAAAGGGCAATAGCATTGTGGGACCAATGACCTATGTATATGGGAGTCCGATTTTTCCAGAGCCCAGACACTGATGCTAGATGTACTAAGGCAGTAATTTCTTTTCTAAAGATTCTCACACATACAATATAAAAGCAAGCATACACACAAGCAATACAGACCTGGGAGTTCAGATAGAAAGGTACAGAGACGGTTGCAGGAAATATCGTTGGCTGGGTGATACTTTACCTGTCTGATGAGACGAAGCGACTCGGCAGTGAAAAGAGATAAAAACTATGGAAAGGGGGTCGTGTGTTGGCCAGCAACATGCATGGAAGGTTCCAAACAGCGCTAGGAATGGAACCAGCAAGATAGGGTGGGGTTAGGAGAGAGTGCAGGCAAGAGAGAGAGTAGTGGGGTGATGCTCTTCTTTTATACCTGACTTGTGACTTGAGGCTGATGCCTTGTTGGTCACATAGTCCCCAAGAAATAGTAGAAAAAACTTAAACTGTAAATGGGTCAGAAAAAGGGATTAATCACTGGGCAACTGAAATAATGCTTTGCCTAATAGTGACACCTCTCAGGAGGATGGGTAGAGACAAAAGAGAGAAAAGAGTAATGTTCTTGCTACATTGCCAGTAGTTGATCTTAACGACCCAACGGTGTGCTATCTTGATGGGTGGATGGAGGACGTGATGGCCCATCAATCCCATCATGGAGTATATCCTTTTGTTTAGGCTGAAGAGGAATACGTGCTTCACCTGGTGATGTTAACATGCAGGGGGGGGGGATGCCTGCGTGATGAAGAAGGGAACTCTACATGGCGTCTGCAGAGGAAGCACATGGCATGGCTTCCTTCAATGATCTGTTGCTGGTTCCATGTGTGGAGAAGTCAGGGTAGCTGGCTTGCCTTCTAATGCTGGTATTGCTGTAGAGGTGCAGGAGCGAGAGGCATTTTGTAGTCCATGGGTCCACATCTGGTTAGGCACACTGCTCCAGTGCAAGGTTCCCCTTGGCTATGGCACATGTTTTCAGTCCAGTACAATGGCACAGTCTCACGGCTACTTTCTGCCCATGGCCCTGACTGACTTATTTCACAGTCCAGCTTTGCAGTCATATTTAAGAGTCTTTAGAAATGCTTTAAAAAGCGGATGCTTGGCAACGGTATGTATATGCAATGATTGTACTGAGGATTTTGTAAGTTACTAGTTTTGCACGTTATTGATTTTCTACGAAACATGTAGCCAGTTTTTACATGATGTGGTTTTGTTATTGTTTGAACTTACCATCGTGTTCCCTGTATATATTATGTTAAGATTTCAGGTCAAGCAATGGCCCAGGCTAGCTTGATCTTATCAGATCGTGAGAAGCTAAGTAGGGTTGGCTGTGGTTACTCCTTGAATGGGAGACCACCAAGAAGTCCAGGGTCTCTATGCAGAGGAAGGCAATGGCAAACAACCTTTGTTAGTCTGCTGCATTGAAAGCACTATGGGGTTGCCCTAAGTTGGCCATAAGCCCTCTTCATGTTTTTTTTTTCCAGTCTTGCCCACTGAGACATAAGTTGGCTCTGAGTTCACAGCACTTTACACACACACACACACACACACAATAGGTTACAGTGAGCAATTTTAGATTCCAATGGAAAGATTGAAGGTCAAAGAAGACGGGGACGGCAAAGGATGAGATGGTTATGTCATAGATGCAACGAACATGAAGTTGAGCAAACTTCAGAGGACGGCGGAAGACCGGAAGGCCTGGTGTGATCTGGTCCATGGGGTCGTGAAGAGTTGGACTCGACTGTGCGACTGAACAACAACAACATGGAAACGTCTGGCTCTTGCTGAAGCCCCAATAAGAAGTTATTTATATTTATATTTATGGCATCATGTCAGCTTTTGCATTGCTTTCAAGAGAGCAAAGGGAGATAGGTGGGCTGCCTGGTTTCCCAGGTCCCCAGAATAACCTGGACTTTGAGAATTTTGACTGTTAGAAGCAACGTTCCCTCTAAGCTGTGGAGTCTTGTGAGCAAAAATTCTACTGGCATTAAAGTTGTGAGCGAGCGATTTGGCTACTGCATAAATCAGTTTGCTCTGGAGCCATCCTTCCTGAGCGAAGACAAAAATCTGTGAGCTGGAGGCTAAAAAACTGTGAGCTAACTCACACTAACTCAGCTTAGAGGGAACACTGGTTAGAAGGTTGTCCTAAAAAAAAAACCCCCCCCCCCCCCAGCCTCCATGCCAGACATCCTGTATCTCTGTGGATGTGTGTCTGGCTGAGCATGATCTCTAGCTCTGATTTGTTTTGTTTACACTCTCCAGATCTACCAATGTTTTCAACAAAGGTGAGAGGTGCCATGGCAGAAGTGCTTTGGCCTAGTTAGTCTCTTAGTGAAGAACCAGAATACTGAGCAGGTCTGTGCAAACTTCATGTTCATTGGGCTCCCACCAACAATGAGTATTGGTCCTCCTATGCACCCCATATGTGTGATCACTATATTGTGTGAACTGGGCAGTGCATAAGTTTCCCATTCATGTATTTCTCCTAGTATGGAGGTGGTCAATAAGGCAGGCTCATCTATCAGGTGCATTGTAGGGACTGTGTGCTCCTGATATGTGCAGTTGGCAGGCTCCCCCTTCACATGAACGTAACATTTTACTTATAATTTCTTCTTTTAAAGGTATTTCATCTTTTCTCCAATACTTGGCATACAATATTCTCGCAGTGGTTAATACATGTATAATAAGATAAAAATCATCCTTTTTACAATTTTCTGGTCTTACAGTCAATAAAAATAATTCAGGGGTAAAAGGTACAATTCAACATTTTTTGTAATATTTCATGAATCCAGGCCCAATATTTTTTAACTCTTATCACACATCCACCACATATGGAAAAAGGTCCCAGGAACTTTTTTACATTTCCAACAAGCATTTGATAAACCAGAATAAAATTTTGCTAACATATCTGGTGTCATATACCCTCTATAAAACATTGTATAGATATTTTTACATTCATTTTCCATACCTGAGACCATTGATCTAGGTGTATATTATGTCCAAGATTTTGTGCCCATTTAATCATACAGTTTTTAACTATTTCACCTTATGTTTTATGTTCCAACATTAATGCATACAGTTTTTAACATCAGTTTTTCCTCAGAATATAACAAGATTTTATCTTTTTCAGTTACTTTGGAACAAAAGCCTGTTGGTTTATCTTTAATATATCTTGA